GCGAAAAAATAAAACTCAATAATAATTCATAAAATAATGATTAAATGCTGATTTAAATTATTTTACTCATAATGATTACCTTCCCTGCTTTTAAAATAGAATAGTTTAGTGAAAGTACCACATTTCACTGCTTTTGGACTGGTGCGGAACTAAATACTATCGGACTGATTCGTTTTTGGCAATAAAGAACTAGTACTGAACTAGAAATCTGGTTCACTAGTTCGTGTTTTCCCTACAGGGTAATGGCATAACGCTAAAAAAAAAAGTTTTATCAATTTGCTTAGCGGTAACTCCGAAGTTACATAAGTTTTTCTAATTTATTTTGTATATTTATGGGGTTTTCATGCAAATTGCTAGAAATTCCAAAATATACATGTCACCAATAAAAAAATCTCGACGTGCTACAAAAAACCAAAGATGTATTTTAACTTCGCAGGCCTCTGTTATCTTCGCAGTATCATCCAACACGGGTTTTAAATCTAGTGGCGGCACCTTCCTAGTCGCAAGGAAATACCGACGGATCATACAGTGACTTCTCGTGGCGTTTTCTGCCTCTTGCTTCATCCTAGACATCGCTCCTTTCGTTTTTCCAACCGCTGCAAATATCCGTACACTTGCTCCATTTCAAACCATTTTTCTGTAGAAAATTGTCGATAGCTTTAAAAATTTCGTCGCTAGTGGTGTAAGTCTCAAGTACTTCGCTCATCAAAAGTTCTTCTTCGATTTGCATTGCGAATGGGTACCTCACTAACACGATAAGACTGCCTCTCAAATCATGTTGATTCGCTCTTTCACAGTGTGATTGTGAAGTTCCAAAGAATATGTAAAATATACACGTGCGCGAAGCTGCCGCGTTTGTTACGAGAACAGCCCAGCCAGTAAAAAATCCGAAAATTAATCCGAAAACGGGAAGAAAAGTGGATGATACGCGGATGAAACCCGGACGAGGTCTACAAAAGTACCGACAGAGGTTGTGAAAAGGGTACGTTTTCGGCAATTTTTCTGATTAAATTTTTCGTTGACAAAACGTACTGCTGCGGCTTAACAAACCAAACGAAATATCCCTTTGCTGCAAGCCATTTGTGTTGTGTATGGGGTTTGACGAGCCGCTGAAGGTAATTTTATTAAAAATCAAAATTTTTTGATTTTCTGGCCGCCATGTTGAAGTTTGATCAAATCGCTTGCGTTGTGTATGGAAAGTTTAAAAAATTTGCCCTCACCACTAGTATACTCTAGCAACTAGCGGCACCCCAGGGTGCCGCGTCACCCACTTTGGGAAAGATTGCTCTACGCTATACCTATAAATATGTATACACTCTAACGCATAATCTACGCTATACCTGTGTATAAATATTAATATGTTAGACATAAGGGATTGTGATTGCCCGATTTTTTTAAATATATTTTGAATAAATCACTTTTCAAGCGTAAGCGTGAGTCATTTTTGAGTCTTCTTTTAATCGCGGAGGCGATTAATTAGTTTTTATCATCGGAAGTGCTCGAAGAAGGGTGATTTTTATTAAAGTAATCTTCCAAATGTTATGTGGGAAGTGCTTATGGAATGAGCTGCTCTGATCTTAAGTCTTACAATTTTTTTTATAAAACTCCTAAATGCATTAATACGAGTGTGATACATTTTCAAAATTGCTCAAAGAAGAAATCATTAGCTCCTGAAAGCTCTAATAACTATGGCTGCGGCAAACATTATCCAACAGATGGTGCCCGCTATCCATCGGATAAATAATTTTGTGCGCAGGACGCAGAGCGCATATTCCCTCTTTTAGCACGTAAATTTGAAATTAAACTCTGGGGCTTCATTTCGTGCGTATGCTTTATGGCAATGAATTTTATAACCCTCTTGTAGCATTGAGCAAAAAATGAGATGTTGAATTTGCAAACACGTGCTTGTTCTTGGTGTTAAAGTCCGAAACAACATTATTTATGTTTATGTTCATGCACATATACACATATGTATGTACATACATATATACATATGTATAATTTGTATTTTCCTATCATTTCGAATCGGAAGATATACAAACGTTTGCGCTTAAATGGTTTCCCCCTTAAATTAACCAATAAATCGCCCCTCTTAATTACTAGTTCCGGTTAATTAAAAAAAAAAAAATCATGCCCAATTCAGCGGGGGATACTGAACTTTTATTCTATAAAATTTTTAATATTTCAGAAGTAAAGTAGGTTTGTACTCGCACATACATATGAATGTATTTCATGTATGTATTATGAGTATAATGATTTGATTGGTTTGAAAAGGATATCGGGTCAACTACCAAATTTTTTCATCAAACGTGTTCAAGTTAGGGGTGCGTGATAGATGGCTAGGAAAATTTCAAGCTTTCTAAAAATCACCAAAATACATTCGCATGCATACATTCATATGTACGTATATGTATGTACATTAATGGTGGACAGACGAACATATAAAGCTGAGTGCTAGGACGACTGGCATCGTCGTCAATGCAGCTGCCGTTCGCGCTGACACATCTGCTCCACGAGCTTGTTCCGGCAATTGGGAGCGCAAGCTTCTCAGCTTTAAAAGCAAATAGGCGCATTCACACGTACGCACATATAAATTTGTGCGTCAATTTCATGCTGATGGCAGCAGTACCTGCCTTATAGCTCTTGCCTTCAATTGTGCCGATTCAGTTTACAAAGGAAAGTTTTAAAAGATAGTCGTGATTCGCGGGTGGCTATTTGTTGTAAACGTGGAAAAAAATTATCAAAGCGGACTTCCATCGGTAATATTGAAAATCAAAGTAAACACCGAAGTATTAATCGAATTGGGTGTAACCTTCACAATAGGTATGAGTGAATGTGTGATTTTGTTTGGAAATGCCACTCCATCGAAAAATTTAAAAATTATATACATACATATGTATATGTAGGTATCGACGTACGAAGTATTCTAAAGATCTACATACCTATCTATTCGAAAAGCCAGTGAATGTAAGGGGAGTGTTAACAATTTCAAAAAAAAACCTTCACTTCATCGAAATGAAAGTATCTATGGATTTTATGAAATATTTTTATTAAAGGAAGGAGCTTACTCCATGCATATGTATGCACATACTTATGAATATATCCATGTACTTATGTAAATCAAGTTATACAATTTTACCAAGTTTCAAAAATGGAACCAAAGAACTTTAGAATTTTGTACGCTGCAAATATACCTGTCGTTAAAAAAGAAAATATACAAACACCAAGTATACTAGCAACGATAAATGATTGCAATGCATTTTATAAACATTAAAACCCCTAATATACATATGTACATCTGTGTAGTGGGAACATGCATATTTATAAATATATGTGAATAGTACGTAAGCTAATGCTTGTGTGTAACTACATATGAATGTATGTACATATGTAGGTGGGCATGTACATATGCAAATATGCATACAAATATATATCTATACATATGTATATACATATGTACGTACCTACACATGGGTACGTACAAACTCGTAATTACTCATACATACATACTTACATGTCTACTTATATTTGCACATACCTATGTAAATATGCAATTTTGGCATAAATTGTTAAAACATTTTCGCTATTTTCGTAAACAATTGTGACGTCAAACATCCACCGCAAAGGTGACACAACTCAAATTTTGTAATTTTTGAAATTATGCGCTAAAAATTTTCAGAAACTTTTTACTTACCTTGTAGCAAAATCTGGAGCAAATATTTCTTGTAATTTGTTTAAAAAATCTAAGGTAAAGTCTTCCTGTCCATATGATTAACACGTGCTACGAAATAGTTTTTAGCCTTTTCTGGCAAATGGGAAATTTTGAGTTGTGTCATCTTTTTAGTAGGTGTGCGATAAGTACATCTGTCGATACATAGTACGCCACAACCCCTAACTGAATATACATACAATACGTTTATCCGGAAAATTTTTTTGAGAAATTTTGACACGAATAATGGTCTGATTATGCATACTTCGCATAACTTCGCACAACATCGCATAAACTTCAAACTGTAATTTCGTATGTACTTTGTATGTATTTTGTATGTATTCCATTACCCAGAGATTAGCAGAACTTTTAATAACTTAGTGATCTGTTGAGTTTAGATTTTGCTTTACATTTTCTTAAGATACATTTTTATTGTACTGGTACAAATGGTTGTGCGAAGTTATGCGAAGTATGCATAATCGGACCATTAGAGCCTTGCATGGGAATGCACATACATAAATCGTCGCTTGAACAAATGATTGTCGTATGTTACATTTGACGACTTTTGGGAAATCGCGATTGAAGTTTAAAGTCTGTTTTCTTGACACGATAGATTTATTTGAAAATTTTATATGTTGTTTCTAGCTTAAGGAAATATTGGCATTTATTATTTTAAAAAAAATTTACATAAAATCTGCAACATTTATTGCAAATTTTATTTGCTCACACTTTGTCGTATGTTACAGTTGACAACATGGTTGAGCTCAATTCACACACATACGACAAATTACTAGCAAAATATAACACAAATCATATGAAATTTATTTTTCAGTTTTCAAATCTAGTAAATAAAAGAATTCAGTTCAGCTTCAAAAAAAAAACAAAGAACGTAGTATTATAAAAACAATAGTACCTTAGTATAGAAAGACCCTATCTTTATTTGCAAAGTGATTGAAAACTTACCAAAACTTTCAATTCTTTGGTTGCGAATTCCTTTAAAATGCTGTTTTCAATTGAGAGCTGTAATTAATTAAATGCTGTAGTAGTTGTTTTTGAACTGCATTAAGTTTATTTAATTATAGTTCTCAATTGAAAACCGCATTTTAAAGAAATTTTAACCAAATAATTGAAAGTTTTGGTAAGTTTTCAATCACTTGGCAAAAAGTTTAGATAGGGTCTTTATATATTATTTACATACTTAGTATGTATTTATGTATATGAGATCGCATTTTTGATATGGTTCTGTAAAAGCATTTGTCTTCTTCTTTCTCCAAAAATGTAATGCAACTTTGTAGGTCATTCTTTTTATTTAAGTCTAGTTCCTTTTTTGGAGCAAGTCGAAGTTCTTGTCTCCACACATTCAAAATTTTAAGGATAACTTAACACCTACTTTAAACAAATCAGATTTGGAATACATTAAAGATTTGCATTTAAAAAACGGAATATCTTTAAAATTCAAGCTTACTGACTTTATAGAATAACATGTAAAGTCTTGCTGAGTCATTTGTAGTGTGCTTAATATTACATACATTCGGGAACTTCATGTTCTTAAGCAGTCGTATTAGAGAAATTTGGCTAAAAATTTCCAAATTCCGCAAATACTTCTCAATCGCGCTATGGACACAGTCAACATGCTGTAAGCTGGAGTGTCCTGGCTCACTAAATTTTTGCTTGACTTCTTCCATATTTGGATGATCATGGATAAACTGAAGTAAAGCTGTTGCAGTTACGCGGTTTCTATTTTGTGGAACACATGAATCACTCGAGTGAAATGCTGTTCAAATTAGGATGATCAGTGACGACTTTTCTCAATATTTTCATTAAGGCACTGGCAATATTATTTCCTCTGCGTCCACTTAAAGTTTCGTTCCATAAAGCACAGTACGTTATTTTTTCGTGATTTGGTATAATAAGGGTACCAGTAAGATTGTAAATGGACAGTTTACGTTTATAATAAAAACTAGAGGCAATCATTTTTGGAAGAGTAAACACATTTTCTAATTCATATATTAAGACTGCGGAATTATTGTCAATGTTCTGAAGATCAGCATCGCGTTCCGGCGCGCGGGACATCAGATGCCCGGGACTCGTCCGCGCGCTTCGACATCGCGATTGAAGTTTTATTACGCTGAATGCTTTTCCAATAATACATCCGACATATCTTTACTGTACCAGATTCAAATTTTGTCGTAAGTGTTAGCTGACCTCTCACATACAACAATTTTTTGCTGATGCTTCTTAACATTCAATTTATATGAAAAAATGTCGTATGTGCGAAACTTTTAAATTATACGACAAAATTGCACTAAAGCGCTTGTGACCTTGCACATACGATAAAATTATACCAAATATCTCGAAATCCAAAGGAGATATCAAAAAACTGATAAAGCCATTTGAAAGATCTTGATTTGTTTAGTATATCTGCATTATTAACTCAATTTGGCCCAATTTTCACATACAACAATCATTTGTTCAGGCGACGAAATATATGTAAATATATAAATATATACGTATGTACATATTTACACACATATGTATTCACATTTCGAACTGGCAAAATTTGTTTATCTGTACATTTGCCTACATCCATGCACATGTATGTATGTATATAAGTACATACGTATATGTATATAAGGCAGAGGTATTTACTTATATTTACATAATTATCTATATACCTATGTCCCTATAACAAATTGGCGTTTTCCCAAGATTTTGGAGGAGTGAAAGTGAAGGGATGGATAATTTTTGGTTTAAAAAAAGCGGTCGGGTATTTGCGTACGCGGTTGAGGCTGGTAATGGCCCCAGCACTATGTTTCAAGTGGAAGAGTGTTTGTGTGAATGGTGGGTAGATATGGGGAGATGAGAAGCTCGTTGGCAACCCCATGTGTTGTGAAGGGTAGGTTGTGATGTGGTGCAGCAAGAACTGAGTGAGATAATGTTCGTATAGCTTTGCGAATTCGAAATTACGCCGTCAGGAAAACGGGCCCCTCAAAATGAGAGAAAAATCAATTTTTCTTTTATATAACAATGTGAGTCAATGTAAACCAGTTTCAGTTGGAGTTATAAATTTGTGCTTTTTGTTAGATTAAAAAAAAAATTGAGTGCCGAACATGTAAAAGCAGAAAGTGTTGCTACTATAAATTATTTACAATGATTGGATTTCCTGATATGATGACATACATATCGTCGATATTTTTGCAAAACCGCTCATCGACCAGTTGCACAACCGCCTAAATCGCCGTTATGGTAAAAATGAGATTTGTTAACCCTGAACTCCAGGCATCGAGATTTATGCATAAAAATCGTTAAATCCTTATTAAAACAACAGATTTGTAAAATAATAGCTAGAGAAAATACCGCCTATCAAGGCAATGCCTTCAAAGAATAAACCGTTTTTTCGCTGTCCTGTAAAATTTGAGTGCCGCAACATAAGTAGGCGGTTTTGCAAAAACATAGACGATATGTATGTATGTACTATGTAAATCAGAAGTAGTGTTCGTATGTTGGTACTCTAAGTTCTTCTAAACCGTTAATTCGATTGCGATGAGACTTACCTAGATTGCTGTGGTCGGAGAAGGTTTCTTTCACATTTTGCATTTTTAAGAACAGGTACGACATTGCATACGGGGTGCAATCAGTTGTGCTACGTTAACGACTAAGTACCTATCTTGTACGGCGAAATGAGAAAAAAAACCTTACATTTCCATGACGTGTACGATTTTAGATCTTAACAACAACAAGTAATTTTTAAGCATAATACAAAACCGACTTCAATTATCATATAAAAATTTAGTATGGGACCAGCTGTGAGGTAAAAAAAGAACTATTGAAATCGGTTAAAGTGGTCCAAAGTTATGCGGTAACATTCAAAAAATAATAATTTATCGACGAATTGATAACCTTTCCCTTTTTGTGAAGTCGGTAGAGGAAAATTCATTGAATAAACCAGAAAATTCAATACAATTCTTCCGAATTTGACCTTGAGATGATCTTGCGATGACCTTTATAAACTTATGCATATACATTTTAATCTTTATTCAATAATTTTTTCCCTATTTTACCCTCAAATGACCTCGAAATAGATTTCGAAGAAAATTTTTACTATTGCCGCCCTCTTGTGGAAGTTTAAAAAAAATTAGTGCAGAAATTGATTCCTCATATAAAGAGTTGTGCTACGTTAACGGCTAAGTACCTATCTTGTACGGCGAAATGAGAGAAACCCCTTACATTTCCATGACGATTTTAGATCTTAACAACAAGTAATTTTTAAGCATAATACA